GATTTGCTTGTTATTGATAACATTCCATGACGGGCTTTCGCTATAGAGTGCACTATGTGCTTATCTTGCAGGGATTTGTCTCTAGATTTATGTTGAAGATTGAAATCTGCCCTTTCCTTGGGTGCCTTAGCTCTTCTGTGGAAAGGGTCCATTCTTATCTGCTTATCCTTTCTACTGAGGTATGTTAAGTGACATTGTCATATTTCTTTTCGCTCAGGTGACTATTTTTTGAGAAAGTGAGTTCAGGCCGAGGAAATGAGTTCATGCACATTTTGTATCAGAATGTTTTGTTTCTTGCGGTGTTCAAAAACTTTCAAAAAATAATTACAAATTTTAAGTTAAAGATCATAAAAGTTATTAACCATGATATTTATTAAAACTTAAATAATTGTGTACTCTTTGGGGGGGTTTTATAGGATTGCACAACAACGAAAGTGGATCCTTAATATAGTTCATCGAACATATTTTACCTTTAAGGAAGAGCAAAGTTCTTATGGAAGAGATGAGGGTTCCACTCATCCATTTGGAGAAGACTATTCGTTGTAGGAGGCATAAGGCTCATTTGAAGCAAATTTTTTTTTGTGAGGACTCCTAACGTAGCTCTACGTGCGACACAGGGTATTCATGAGTTATTTTCAGGTTATTCCTGGGTTATTTTCAATAATCCCGAAATAACCCGGAAATAACCCGCGGTCTTTATTTTTGGGTTATTTCTGAGTTATTAAGGATTATTGAAAATAACCCAGAAATAACCTGAAAAGAACTCACGAATAACCTGCGCCACACGTAGAGCTACGTCAGGTGTCCGGACAGAAAATGCGTGTCATTTGAAGACAACAGAAGTCTCGGTTGAAATTGGAGGAGGAATCTCAAAAGAAAGCCAAAACATCAAAGGAGAAAGGAATTTTTCAAGGAGGTTCCTCTGTAAGCTCATTGAAGAGAAAATTAGTTTCTTGTAACCCATTTGATGTAGCCTCTCACAGGGAAAGCTCGATGGAAGAGAAGTCCTATGCAAAATTGGATTTTTTTTTTTATTCTGGGGAAAGTACCCCTTGATTTGAACTATTCCGTGGAGGTGCATTTTTCTAGTGCGCGGGAAAGGTCGAAGCAACATTCATGCACATTTTGTCATGGTTGTTGATCCAAACTTTTATGGTGAAAAGGTTTTGGATGCATATCTTCTATTCTTTTTTGCTTTTGAACTTTTATGTTGATCAAATGCCAATTTTATAATTTAATTTGAAGGTCAACCTTCTTGTCAGGATGAGATTCTTGAGGATAAGTTGCTGATTGGGGGTATTTCCCTCAGCGATCAAGTCGTCAGTGACACTATTTTAGGCCGGAATAATAACTTTCTATCCTTTGAAGGTAACATAGCGTAACCATCTAGAGCATCTCCTCGTGATAAATATGATAATTTGTTGCTTTCAAAGCAATTGATGAAGCAAAATGTGAGAGAACTCAGGATAAATAAGATGAAAACGAGGATATATTATATAATTTAATTATCTCGAGTCAAAACAAATCAAACACGAATGAACAAACTTTTGTTCATTTTCAGTTCTACTATAAATCAAGCTCAAAAAAATTATTTGTGATTGACTCACTTGCTTAACGAACAAATCAAACACGATTCACTTAATGAGTTGAACACGAGTTATTTGTGAACAACAAGCTTTTTTGACGACCTTAACTGAATGTCTATTAATGCAACTCTAACACATCAAATTTTGTTTTTTTTTTTATCACGGGTGTCATCTGACACACTGTTCAGTCCGAGTTGTAATAAAAAGTTTGATGCTTTTTTATTTAATTTTTAAGGTTTTTTTTTTTTTTAAATCAATCTTTTAAAGATGGTCATAACTTATTCTTTTTTGTGCTTACATCATTTCATATAAGGCTAAAATACTAAACTCTTCCGGTCGATCTCAATGAATGTTCCAAGTAACCAACAAAAAGAAAAGTAAGTTAAAACAAATTTTTAACATACGATTGTAATGATTAGAATTGACTGCTTTGTAATGTGGGCCCATAGGATCAATATAAATAATATAATTATACATAGAAATTATTTACAAAATTTATTATTTATAATCATATATATATATATATATATATATGATTTAATATGTTAAGTTGAGCTAAAGTCCCGCGTACCCGACCTGTTGGTGTAAGGCCCCTCATGTCGGGGGTTCGAATTCACTCTGAGACAGTTGATCTTAAAGAGATGACACTCGAATTTTTAGATATTAGGAGTGACTTGAAGCTCGTATAATAATCTCTGACCATTCCTTATCAACAATAATAATAAAAAAAAATTGTTAAGTTGACCTAAATTTAACACTATTATGTAATGGAAGTGTTTCGCTAAATTAAAAATCATATAAATTAAAATATTAATTTGAAAATCATACAATATTTCTGCATTCATATGCCTCTACCTCAAGAGATAAAAAAAGTGGCTTCCAATTTTGAAATATTCATAGATCATGCATGATGACATAAAATAAGTATAAGAAATAGTTAATTCATTCATATAAATTTAATTTAAATTTTATGATGTGGTCGCCAAATGCGATGACTTCAAAAAAAAAAAAAAAAAAAAAAAAAAAAAACATTTTTTTTTCGGTTTGAATTTTATCAAACAGTCAATTTGAAATAATTATTTTGTTACTGTATGTGATAATGAAATGATAAAAAAGAAGGGCCGCGCGAGATCATTTTTTTTTATTTTATTTTTAATTTTATTTTGTTTTGATATTGATTTAAAATAAAGGAATTTTTATATAAAAAAGTCCCTAAATAATATCTATTATATATGAAGGTCGCTGTTAAACCTTCCACTTGTTTTGGAGAGAGGAGACTGAAGAGCGAGACATGGATGCCAAGGTTAGAAGTTTTTTTGATTCTGTCGCGTCTTCTTGGACATTAGCGATGAAATCCCTTTGTGCGATTGCAACATCATTGGTGTAACAATTTCCCTCTTCCCCTCACAAAAACCGAGCTTCCTACTCTTGCTCACCATATATTTTGCACACTGGTTTGATTGGTTTATTGGTTTTGCCAATGGAAATGTGTAGATTAGGGCCTCCTACTTCATACCTTTTCTAATTTCAACTCTGTTTTCTATATGTAGCTTCTGAGCTGATTATTTTGATTTACATCGTGTAATTATTTGGGAGTGTTTGATACGATAATTTTAAGAGGGTTTAAGTTTGACTTAACCTAACTTCAGCCAAACACAATAAATGAATTAGATAAATCTGTCATTAAGTTAAAATCCAATTTTTTATTGTTCTGTTTATTAAATTTATATTTACTAAATCCACTTAGTAGTTGAATTTAATAGATTTAGCGCAGGAAAAAAAAATATTCAAATAGATTTCCGTCAAACGCATCAAATAAATTTAATAGGATTTAACTTTAATTGAACCAAATACTATTTCAAATTTAATAATATTTAGATTTAACAAATATGGATTTATGTGATTTAGGGTCTCTTTGGAGCAGCTATAGCTTAATAATAAGCTGTTGCGCAACAGCTGCCATAGAAAGCTGTTGCAGATAAACTAACAGTCCGTTTATTTTTTTCAATTTGAATATTGCTATGCTACAACTGTTTCTGGATAAATGTTCATTATATCTATATATAATGTTATTTGCAACACAATTGTTCATACCATTATAGTTTATACTTTAAAAATAAAAATCTAGTACCGAACATTCTAAAATAATACATCACTTAAGATTGAGTAACATTATTACTAAAATTAAGAAAATGACTATTAAAGTAATAATTAATACTATAATAATATTATTTTTAAAATGCAGATGGTTTATGTCACGAGCTAAGCCGTTCTCTAGGAATACTCTCAATGCTCGATCACTTTCAACTGTGGAATCTTCTAGTTTATCTGCCCACCGAAAATAGTCATAATTTTCTGTGATTCTCTGCTAACACCTGTAAAACTGTCTTTCGTAGTTGTGGCTAAAGTGAAGTTAGCATTAAACTTTGAAGTCCGCAACAGCTGTGAAATTATCGGGAGGTATCATAAATTCTCGTGTTCATCTTTACTGAATGCTTAAAAAAAATCTCATTAGACATATCACAAGTAAAAATTGATAATATAAGTAATTAATTATAGTCTTATGCAGTTGTGCGATATGAAAGAACTCAATATATAAACCAAAAAATCTTCCACTACAAGAAAACAACAGACCTTATAAAAATAGGGTTATTGATTGCCTTTAACCCACATAAATACCAAGCTCGTGTGTGTTACATATGCATAAAAAAAAATAAAATAATTCGGAAGAACCTTAAAAATCGTAGCATTGAAAAAATGACAGAAACTTGATTGACTCATTAAAATTTCACACGTGATGCCAATCAATAGCAACAAACAGATCATTTAGAAGAATTCATAATATTAAACGCCTCATCATAGAGATCTAAAACCCACTAAAAGAAAAATAAAAAAAAATACAAAAGAAGACACTTACAAATTGAGTAAAAAAATCAAAATAATCAATATCAAATACACAATGAATGAAAATAAATTTTTCTCTTTATTGTGTTTTTTTTATTGCTTACATTTATAATTGTTCATAATCATTTTCTTTTACTTTTGTTAGTTATGTTAGTTATACTTGTGTTCGTATCTCTTCATTTTCTTTTAATAAAGTTGAGCATGCATATTTTCACACACACACACACACACACACACACAGCTCTCTCACGCACAGACGTACACACACACACACACACACACACACACACACACACACACACACAAGTTTAGGTGTGATAAAATACATAACAATTAATTGCTATTGATGCAAAGTTCTCTATATTTTACATGTAAATACATAAATTTAACACACAAGTTTAGGTGTGATTAAATACATAAGAATTATTTGCTATTGATGCAAAGTTTTCTACATTTTACATGTAAATACATAAATTTATTGGGTGCTCGTCAACTCACCTTGTCGTATTCCTTCCCTATATTCTCGCCGGCCAACTCTCTCTCTTCCCCCATTCGCTTACGCGCCAAACACAGAAATAATTCTCCGCCTAATTCGCAAATTTACTTCGACGACTGCCGGAATGCTTCCGCACTCATTCTTCTGAGCTCCCCACGAACTCAAACGAGATTTCGAGATGCCGGCGATCTTCCATCTCGCTGCCGCCATTCTTCTCTGCAGCATCCCGGCCATCTGGTGTCTGGACGAAGGCGTCGTCCCTGACTTAAGGAACACCTCTCCGGCGGCGTTGCCGTACTTTACTAAAGTTTTTTATGACCGCTTTGCGAACTTGAGCGAGGGTTTCGCCGTTGAGATCAGTCAGCATCTCGGGTTCTGCATCAAGGATCCGTATGGATGCTTCCCTCCCTCACACTTACATTCCTTGTTCTTTTCTTCCGTTACTGGAATGATGCTGGAGGATTTTGGTTTTCAGGAATAAGGAGTGGAACGGAGCGTTTAATTTCTCGAATGATCTGGGGTTTGTGTCTGATTGCATCGCGGATACCAACGGTATGATCTCTATTGTTCAGTAGTGCAGCTGGGCTAAAATTTATTAGGTTCTATTCAGATCCTCTGATTTTGAGAAGCTACATAAATCCCAATTCAATAATTGTTGATTGATAATTAACCAATAAACTGCTACTACTCTGTTCCATTTCTTGGCCTTCCTCCGATATAAACAGAATCTGCGTACTGTAAATCTTGTTTAAAAGAAAATTTATTGATAATCGTTGGCTTCCTACATTCTTGTTGCTTCAATGGCGCGTTGTTTGAGTCCATTGGTGCTCTGGTTGACTTTGATTGGTTAAATCATATATTTACAATTGTTTTAGTGCGTGTAAATCAGATCAGATTTTTTATTTCCGTTATTATATGCCTACTGCTGCACCACTTTCTTGTAAATCGCTATCAATGATGATTATAAAATTTGTGATTTGGGTTTACCACTACTCTTTCTCTGATGTTTGATGGTAAATCAAAGGGATCAAAGTTGGGTATGATAATTCATGGTAAAATTTTTTTTAACCAAAATGTAATCTTTTGGAGTAGGGCTAACTGATTGTATTTTACATCAATCTAATTTTCAATTATCCTATGCGGGACTAAACTCAAAGATTCACCGGCCTTAGGACCCATGTTTTTTCTGTACTATGAATGTGTGCATTGATTTATAACCCTTTTTGAAAATGTTCACTGAATGTTACTGAAATTCCTTTCTTAATCAATACTAACAATTTAATTAAGCTCCTGTTTCCTTGGGGTTCCAGTTACCGAACTAAATAATGTCTAAAACGGAATCTCACCAACTCGAAATAAATCTCAAGTTTTTTTTATTCCTTTCAACTTTGCTGCGTGACTTCTTTCAACTTAATGACTACTGAACACGATCTCTTTGATAGCTTTAGATGGAATGCAATTTGGATGATTGTATGATTACTGTTGGTTTGACCTCAATAAGATCTATGCTTTGACCTTCATACAGGATTAGGTAGATACACAAATTTCTCTTTTTAGGCATTGTTCGAAGAATTATTGCAAGAGAACATCAAATAGTTGTGCTTTGGTAGGTAATTATCCAAAGGACTGTTGTCGCCATTAATTTAATTTTTTTCCACAAGTGTTAACATTTAGTGTGTTTTAGTTTTTCAATTTGTTGTTTGATGATTGGTCGCAACAACCAATGAAATATGACTCACTCAAACTATTCAACATTACCTGTTAAGATATTAGCAATCTTGCAATAACTTGGCTAAAGCTTCAAGCTCTCAATGTTAAAGACTAAAAAGATGCCAAATAATGGGAGAAATATTTTGATATCAAAATTTAAGAGCGAAGGGTATATACAATATTATAATAATTATAAGAGTAACAAATTTAGAAGTCATATCATGCAATGTGGGAGGGAATTATGGAATATAGATTTGAAAAATAATCTTTGATATCAAAGAAGCAATTTGAATTCATGCTAGGAATATTAATTATGAATTTGTTCTTTATTATGAGCAATTAATGAAAAAATACGGAGTAAAAAATGGATGTTTTAATGGTTGTCATTGATTTTGAGACGACATGATTACTACCACAATAATTGCTTTAATGTGTATTGAGAAAAAATGTATGAAAGTTTTGTTGAAGTTGTGATTGGTATTAATTGTAATAAGATAATACATTTTTAATCTTGATTTAAAGAGAGTTGTTTATGTTAGTTTTGGTATTTACTTATCTGAGCCCATGATTGCTGATAGTATTGGTAGTTCAGGTTGCGGGTCGTGCAGACTGCAAGATTCAAACTAATATATTTTTGATGTACACGAACTATTCTAATATAAATATCTAATTATAAATGTTAAATATATACAACAACAACAACAACAAAATCTTAATCTTACTACGTGGGTTCAGCTACATGAATCCTTTTTCTCCATTGCGTCTTATTTAATGTCATATTTTCATTTAGTTCTAATAAATTAAGATAATTTTTTTTACAATAAGTCCAAGTCTTCCTAGGTCTACCTCTGCCTTTCTTAACATAAGTCGAATCTAAAACATCTACTCTCCTAATCGGATTATCAGATGGTTGACGTTTAATGTGACCAATCATCTAAGACGACTTTATCTAATTTTGTCTGTTTTGGAGCTACACAAACCCTATCACAGATATAATCATTTCCCATTTTCTCTCTAAGTGTAAAACCACTCATCCACTTAATCATTTTCATCCCGGCAACACTTAACTTAGTATTATGCTTCTCTTTTAAAGGCCAACATTCAACGCCATAGAGCATTGTAGGCTCACCGCCCTCTTATAAAATTTTTCTTTCAGTCTACACGGTACTTTTCTGCAACCAACTTGAATTCTACTATTAACATCCTCATCTATATCACCATCTTTAAACAACATACTCGAGATATCTAAATCGTTCACACCTTTTAATAATTTTCCTTTCAACCAACCAAATTCACTTCAACCAACCAACTTCTAAATGATCACCCAAAGTTACACTTTTGTCACTAGAACTAATACTACTAAAATTGCATTCTATGCATTCAGTTTTAGTTCTACTCAAATGAAAACCTTTAGACTCCAATGTAGACCTCCATAATTCAAGTTTTTCCTGGGCTTTTTCTCTCGTCTTATTCACGAGAATGATATCATCAACAAAAAACATGCTCCAAGGTACATCCTCCTGTAAATGTCCATAAATGTCCAGTAAGACGTCCAGTAAGACCATCCATAATTAAAACAAAAAGATATGGGCTTAAAGCCGATTCCTGATGTAATCCAACAGAAATAGGAAAATATTTCCTCAGTTCTCCTTCAATTCGAACACAAGTCACAGCTTTAGCATACATATCTTTAATGACTTGAATATAAGTCATATAAACACCTTTCTTCTCAAGAACCTTCCAAAGGATATCTTTTGAAACCTTATCGTAAGTTTTTTCTAAATCAATAAAAATCAAATGTAGATCCTCCTTATTTGCTCTGAACTTCTCCTTCAAACTTCTCAATAAATGTATAATTTCCATAGTAGACTTACCCGACATAAATCCAAATTTATTATGAGAAATTTTTGTGAGACGTCTTAACCTATGTTCAATTACCCTCTCCCATAATTTTAAAGTATGACACATCAACTTAATTCCTCTATAATTGACACACTTATGTGCATCCTCTTTATTCTTAAAAATGGGGACCAAAATACTCTTTTGCCACTCCTCAGGCATCTTTTTAGTTTTTAAAATAAGATTAAAGAGTTTAATAAGCCAAGAAACTCTCAAATCTCTTAAGTATTTCCAAACTTCAATTGGGATATCATCAGGTCCTACAGACTTTCCACCCCTGGTTTTCTTTAAAGCCTCATCAACTTTTTTTCTACTGATGCGACGGTAAAAATAAAACGTTTTATTATTATTAACGATATTAATATCACTAAGGTCGATCGTATTTTCAGAAACTTTATTAAAAAATTTATCAAAATAACTCACCCACCTATGTTGAATGTCTTTTTCTAAGAAAAAATTTTTTGATTTTCATCTTTAATACACTTTACTTGAGTTAAATCTTTACTTTTCTTATCTCTTTATTTGACTAGTTTATACATATACTTTTCACCCTCCTTAGTATATAATCTATTATAACAATCACTAAAATCAAAATTTTTAGCGTCACAGATTGCTCTTTTAGACTCTCCGGTGGTCGTTTGATATTTTTTCCAATTCTCTAAGGTTTTACATTTAAATTAATTTTTATAACATAATTTCTTATATTTTATCTTTTCTTGCACATTATCATTTCACCACCAACTATTTTTATTTTTAAATTTTTTTCCTTTTAATTCTCCAAGTACATCTTTTGCTATTTGTTTAATAGTATCTGCTACTTTATCCCACATCACATTTTCTTCTTCATGAACATCCCAAATATTTAAATCTTAAATTTTACTCATAAAAATAATTTTATTTGTGTCTTTTAGATTCCCTCATCTAATTCTACGATGATGAGTCATAGTATTGTTTATTTTACAACTCTTTATCTCAAAATCTAAAACTAATAATCGATGTTGGATACTTAAATCCTCATTTGGAATGACCTAACAATCTTTACAATCTCGACGATCTCTTCTTATCATAAGAAAATAATCAATTTGTGTTTTATTAAATCCATTCTTATAACTAATAAGATGCT